TAGGTTTAATAGTGAAAACAGAAGATCAATTCTAGTTCATGGGTTGTGGGCCTAATCTGGGCTCATCTCACTTATTTTAATTGTTCATTTTGTAATGTTTTTTAAGTAAATTATTCATATAAAATAATGCATTAATTATATGTCAATAATCATATAATTAGATTATATTTATTTTTTTTAAAAAAAATAGACGTTACATATGATTTTGAGGATAGAAAGTCTTTTTCATTTATAAAAAACAAAAAATAAATGTGATTCAATTATATAGTTACTAATATTAAGTCAATTTGATTTTTTACACCAATAAATTGCTTGGACAACACGGATTTTGATCATTTCTATTGCATATTTGTAATTAAGAGATTTTATTACATCATCTAATGAAAAGTGTAATGATTTTCTTAATTTAAAATAATTATAAATTTATATTTATATCTCATAACCATTAGATATGTAATGAACATTTACTATTATAAAATGGAGAGAATAAAAATTAGAAAAGACTAAAAACATGATTTGGATCACTGGAATGGAGTAGGCTCATAGCCCATAAATTAGACCCTCCACTTGTTTCTAAAAAAAAATCTAGTAAAAATTCCATTTATATCATATGCTCTTTAAGAATAATGCTTGGGACCCTCTTTTGGGGGTCACCCCCTCACCCCCCTTTGCCACGTGGCAGAGGGTGATTGGTGGAGCAGGAAAAAAAAAGAAAAAGAAAAAAAAAAGGTAACCAATGAGAGAGAGAGGGGGTCAAAGGGGGTGGGGGGAAAAGGGGGGATGAATCATTACTCTGCTCTTTAATATGTACTGCATTGGTTATTTTAGTTGACTTTTCTTATTTTTTCGACTATTTTACTCCATCTAAAAAAGTTATGTTTGGAAAGATGGTTGACTTTTTTTATAGTTGGTTTGATAGTTACAAGAGAAAAAATGAAATGATATGGTTTAAATGTGACATTTTGTCTTAAGTCTCGTTTGATAACGAATTATTTTAATAATTTTTTGTTTTTTTACAAAAAAATATGCAAAAAAACAAAGAGAGTGATGAAACAACTTATAATGACTTTTTTGCTAAAATATTTAGACCTCAAACGAGACATTATTGACTGTTTTAGCCTATTTTGTTTTTACTTTTAACCTCCAACTTCTTCTCAAAAGAGGCCATCGCATGTTGGTTTAAAATGAGAGATTGTAGGTTTTTTGTTTTGGGTCATGTTATGACAATTATTTGTCGGTTTTTGTGAAAATCGGATTTCTTGTTTCTCAATCAAATAAGCATATTGGTGATTCAATTTCAATATGGCAAAGAAGTGATTGGATTTACATGGAAATTCCACATAGAGCATTGCAGGCTTGGAGGCATGGTGCAAAGAACTCTCCCTTAAAATACACTGACATCAAATGCTCAATTGGTAAAGCATTTGCAACCCCTTTTGCCTCCTCATTTTAAATAGATTTTTTATATTCATTTTTATCAGCAAACGCAAAATAATGAGTCGCACTTATACTTATTAATGTGAATTTCATTATATTTTCATTTAATAATAAGAAACTCTAATAAAAAATCTATTTATTATAACATCATTCTCAAATATGTCATTATAATCCACCGAAAGAATGCTAGCATGTGATTTTTTTTATCCCAACCTACTAAGAGGTATGATAAAAACAATAGTACCATATTGTTTGTTGATGTCAATGGATGTCAATATTCAATGGGCATTGTCATTATATACCTCTTTGTAAAGTTTAGCTAAGATAGCTAAGTTTGCATGTTAGACATATTCTATTTATGAGAAAAGGTGCATGTGTGGGTGATTTTTCGACCACACTGCCCGCCTAGTAATCAGCTGGAGAGCACCGGCAGAATAGATGGCTTTAGTAACCTATAACAGAAAGACAAAAGGCTCCGGCGGTGGCTCTACCACCCGGTGGCACTCCGACGATCAAGTTAGTATATCTCTCAAAGATAAATCAAGTGCTAAACTCACAAGCTTGGGTATAAAACTGCGTAGCTTAGACCCACAGGGGTGCCTCTCTTTTATAGTTTACTCAATCCAAGTCCTACTAGAAGCCTGACTTCTATGGACTCCAATTTAGTACTTACTTTGGATTCCTCAAGAGATAAAGATAAACTCCCTTAGAGCTTTATCCTTATCTTAGCAAAGTCTTCTCTTTTCTCTAGGACTCTTATCCCTTATCCGCTTATCTCGGATTCCGATATCTTCGGAGATAACCTCGGCATCGCCAAGATAACCTCGGCACAGCTACCACGACACGTGGCACCTCGGCTGACATGTCGGCGTCACCATGCCACGTGTTGGTACTCAGAAAATATATCCCCACAATTGCCCCCTAAGTTCTATTACATCGGCATTCTGAGGTGATGGAACCTAAATCTATATTTTCTTCTATTACCTCGGCGTAAGAACTCCTTGGTCGAGATCATTCACGTTAGGCCCACATGTCTTTATCGGGGAATAAGAACTTCAAATGAATCCCTTTATGCGTATGAGCTGTCATACATCACTTTTCAACCGTTTTATTCACGCGTTACATCCTTATTGGCCCGTGTCCGCGACGTGCCTGTAAGCCGTCTTTCATCCGTCTGCACCGTCTGACGCACGCGTTCCTCCAGGCACAATAAATGCAGTGTTTTTGTCGCTGTTTCGAGTTTTTTACAAAACTTTTCTTTTCATCTTCACTTCTTTACTTTTGTATTCGGCTTTCTGGCTTTCTCTCTCTCTAAACTTTCTCAAATCCGCCATTGATCTTGCTCGAAGCTCTGCAATCGTCTTCATTCCTCCATTCCAACGAAGCTTTCGTCGTTTCGTCGTGTCTGCAACCGCTGCCTTACCTCGGCGACTCTTATTCCGGCATCTTTTGTTTTGGTAAGCCTTCGCTCCTCTCATTCCCAATTTCTTCTATGTGCTTTCGTTTACGTACTGCCATTACTGCTCTGTTTCAAACCTTTGATTTACTGAACTATCTATCTGGATGTGTCTATTCATGATTTCGCCCATATCTTGAATACTTGCACTGTTTCAATACTTTTCTTGCCACTGTTCTTGACTTTTTACTTCTGTATTTCCTTTGCTTTTAAGAACCATTCCTCTGTTCTTTGATTCTGAAACGCCGTTCTTTGTTTTTTTTGTTTTCTGTTTTTCCTTTCCAGATTTCTGTTTTTAATTCTTGCTTTCAATCTTTGCCTTCATAGATTTAGGTTTGGGTTTTGTCTGTAGAGCCTTCAATTTTTAGGAAAAAACTGAAACAAGCCTTATCAGTCCTTACCTAGGGTTTTGCCGAGGTCCCAATAACCCCTTGACAACACCTTCTTTCTGAAATCTAGACCACTGATTTTAGGCCGACGTTATGGGTATGTGGAGACATAAGGTAGATACCCCGACCAAACTTGAGTACTTTAGGCGGGAGTTCTCTATTCTTGCCGATGTCCATCTGAGGCTAGCTGAAGATAATGACTCTATCATGCCCACAGATGCTTCAATGCCTTTTCCCATAGTAGCTTTTACTAAGTGCGGACTCCGGTTCCCACTTAACATTCTTTTTCGCGAAATTCTTCACTTTTACAAGTTGAACCCTATGCAACTTACCATCAACTCCTATCGAGTGATTAATGGTATCATAGCCCTAGCTAGGCAGGAGAATGTTAGGATCACCCGTGCCGATGTACAGTATTGTTATACCATGTGCCCCCTTAACCTGAAGGAGAGAGGTTACGTCTACTACCTCAAGCCGAGGTCTACTGAATTCAAAATTGTAGCCGACCTCCCGGACTCCAACAAGGGAGCCGGGGATGACTTTGTCATTGCTTCGAAAAATTGGGAATTTGGTCCAGACGAAGATGTTCACCTCTACCCTCTTCCTCGAACAGTTAAAGAGGGCAAGGGTAAGAGCCCAGCGCCAATACTTAGTTATGTCTTTTCCAAGTCTTCAAAACTTTCTGTTTCTAATGTCTTGTTTGTTTGTTCTACAGATCTTCATCAGCCACCAAACAACTTCTGCCAATCCTTCTTCCCAGGAAAAGATTTAAAGAAGCTCCTAGCTCTTCCAATCCACAAGCGTAAGGCTCCTCTGTTACTGAATTTTATTCCGACATACAAATCCACACTGCCCGACGTCCCAAAAAGAAAAAAGAAGAGCCTATCTCCTACCTCTGCTACCTTTCTACAAACAGCATCAACATCTCGGGCTGACCAAGGGTCAACCTCTGATCCAGCCGACTAACCATCAACTTCTGGCCCATACCTAATCCCAATACCAGAAAGAAAACGTCGGCGAAGACTCGTAAAAACTGCTGAGATGGGTCGCCCGAAGCCTATTGCCCAAGATCTCCTAGCTGACCTTCCCACGGATGTTGACGCTCAACCGCCGCAAACCATGCCCCCACCAAAGCCGAAGAGAATTAAAAAGGCTCAGCCTAAGGCCAAACCTACTGAGGTTGAGGCTGAGGACGCTCTGCCCATCTCACACTTGGCTGAGAGTAAAAGAACTGCTTCTACTTCTGCAAAAAGGTCTGCTGAGGCCCAGCCATCGGAATCCACCCAATCAAAGAAGCCGAGGTCATCGTCTGCGACGACCTCGGTTTCCAAAGTACCAAAAGTCCCTTGGAGACCAGAAATTACTCTGGAAGATAAGCCAGTCCTAGCCAGCGACAGTGCCGATGACATAAACGTCGGCGTGGCCCTAAGTACTGCTCTACTCCTCCCAAGCGATCTTGAGCGAAACGCCAAGATGAGTGAGTATGAGAATTACGCTTTTATGCTGCAACACTCTGTCCAAGTAAGTGCCTTTGTGTTGAAATTTGTTTTCTCTCTTAATTTGTAAAGGTTTGTAATAATTTGTGCCTTGTGTTCTTTCAGGCCATCCAATATGCCCACTCCTTCTCCATGCAAGCTTTCGAAACAAGGAAGAAGTTGGCCGACATGAAGAAGGAGGTTTCTGCCCTCAAAAAGAAGAACAAAGTTGTTCTGATAAAGATGAAGAAGCTGGAAGATCAAGCCGAGGCTGCCATTAAGGCCCAACAGATGGCCGAAGAAAAAGCGGAGTCTGCTGAAGCCATCAAAAAAGTTGCCGAGGCCGAGAAGAGAGATGCCGAGGTGAAAAAGGCTCAAGCCGAAAAAGAGCTCGAGGAGGCCCTGGCCACTAAAAACGCCGAAATTACTGAAGCCGATGAAAAAGCTTACGCCCAAGGAATGGCCGATGTTGCTGAGGACTACAAACTGCAAGTTAGGCAGGCATGCAACAGGGGCTTTTCCCTTGGTTGGATGTCCCTGGCCAAAAAGCTCAATGTTTCTGAAGATTCCCCTCTGCACAAGGCTGAAGCTATTCCTCTCCCATTCCCTCCTCCTGTTCCACCTTCAAGTCAAGCTGAAGATGAGTCAGAATCTGAGGCTGAGGATGAAGATAACAATGAAGATGAGGCCTTGGTGAGGAAATCCAAGGATGCTACTGAGGCAAAGTCCCTTCCTCCAACTGAGCAAGTCATGGACTTAACCTTGGATGAAGAGGGTGATGAGGTTGGGGAGGCGCCTAGGGAAGCTATTACAGGGCAATTATCATCCGACCTTCTCTTAGCTGAAAGAAGTCTTGACAAAATGCTTGCAGAGATTGATGCCGAGCTGGCTGCAGAGAAGGCTGCCGAAGTAGTTCCCCAGGAATCTGCCGAGGTCCAGACCCAAATCGCTCCTGAAACTAAAGAATCATAACTTGGATGTCTTCCGTACTCTTTTTGTTTCTTTATATAAGCTTTTCTGTACTTCTGGTTTTGAAACAATGTAAGCTCTTCTAGTTTAGCTGATGTATCTTGCTTCTGTTGGATACAACTTTATTTCTGGTTGGCCGTAATGCCTTCTTTGTATACAACTGCAACTGCTTTAATCTTTAATTTCTCTTGATTGCGTCTGTATGATTCTATACTTGGAATATTTTGCATGCCTTTCTATTTTGCCTTCTTTGCGCAATCTTCTCGGGGTTACGTACCTCGGGTATAATAACGTTTTACTTCGGCAAGATACAGACCTGCAAACTCTTCATAAATTGCAACAAGTGTAAAACACATACTGTTCAATGTCAATTTTGCAAACTTTTTTCGAAGTTTCAACAAGTATTTAAACAGTGATTTCGGCCTAACCTACTCGTAAATTGCTACAAATTTCAACAAGTGTTATATACTGTAATTTTTTCTCAAGTTATAATAATGATCAACTTGTAAATTGTTACAAATTTCAACAAGTGTTTAAACAATATACTTAGCTTTTACCTCAACCTGTAAATTGCTGTAAATTTTGACAGATGATCACATGTCGCCTTAACATTATCTTGTAAATTGCTACAAATTTCAACAAGTGTTAAGCATCTTCTTTGGTTGGATCAACCTGTAGATTGCTATAAGTGTGTAAACTATAACCTCGGCTTCACTTCGACTTGTAAATTGCTACAAATTTCAACAAGTGAATTAAGTGTCTCTGTCTTCTCTCTGCCCCCAATGTGAACCTGAGTTCTACTTGGGTTCTCATTATTCATGTCTCCAAAAACACCAATATGTAACTTCATCAAATATATGTGTTTTAAGAAAAGGGAAAAGATTTTATTGATGACATCGGCCAAAAATACTGCACATCTAATGATAAAAGAATTTCAAATTACAAGTGTTCCAAGGTCTTGGCAGTGTTTTGCCCTCGTTATCTTCTAGCCGATAAGCTCCATTGCCTAATACCGAAGTAATTCTGTAGGGTCCTTCCCAGTTTGGGCCAAGCTTGCCCTCTCTGGGATCCTTCTTGTTGCCGACGACTTTTCTCAGGACTAGGTCACCGACTTGAAAATCTCTTGGATTGACCTTCTTGTTGTAAGCTCTGGCAAGCTGTTGCTAGTATACTGCAAACTGAATTGCAGCTTTCTCTCTTCGTTCTTCCAAAAGATCCAGATCTCGGGCTAAGAGTATGTCGTTGGTGCCATTCTCTACTCCCTGTGTCCTGATCCCTGGGATGCCGATCTCCAATGGAATGATAGCTTCTGTGCCATAAGCCATGGTAAAGGGGGATTCCCCTGTTGATCTTCTCGGCGTAGTCCGATATGCCCAAAGCAAGTTGGGCAACTCGTCTACCCACTTTCCTTTTGCTGCCTGCAGCCTCTTCTTTATTCCATCCAAAATTACTTTGTTGGATGCTTCTGCTTACCCATTGCTTTGGGAAAAACTTGGTGTTGAAAAGTAATTCTTGATTTCAGGTCTGCTGCTGGTTAGTGTATCAGAGGTGCAAACCTTTGACACTTTTCACACTGTTTCACATAGGCTTCTCTGCATCTCTCTGCATGTAGGGCCACCAATACCCCTGCGTAATGGCCCTATGGGCAAATGATCTGCCCTCAGCGTGGCTTCCACAAACTTCTTCATGTATTTCATATAAAAAATCTTCAACTTGTGAGGGATGCACATACCTTAAAAGGGGCTCAGTGAAGGATCTTCTGTAAAGATGTCCTTCTGCTGTCAGACTGAATCTTGCCGACTTCAATCTGATCTTGTGTGCCTCCTTGTGGTTATCTGGCAGCTTTCTTTCTTTCAGGAATGCAATAATTGCATCTATCCAACTTGGTCCCATGTCCACACACATTGCTTCACGCTCTGTGGTTAGTGATTCGATGCTCTCGCCCGATAAGTAGTCGACCATTATCATCCTTGCTTTTCCAGGTTGTATTGCACTAGCCAGGTTGGCCAGTGCATCAGCGTGACTGTTATCATCTCGGCTAACTTGATGCAGTCGGCAATTCTGAAACAAGGCCACCAGCCTGTTGACCTTTTTTGCATAGGCCGACATCCTTTCATCATGGGCTGCAAACTCGCCCGTTGTCTGGTTGACTATGAGCTGGGAGTCGCAGAAGACTATTACTTCATTTGCTTCAGCTACTATTGCCAACTTCAATCCTGCAATCAATACTTCATACTCTGTTTTATTGTTTGAGGCCTTGAACCCCAAACGGATGGACTGTTCTATTATTTCTCCATCTGGAGATATCAGCAGTACTCCTGCCCCTGCTCCTTGTCGGTTCGAACTCCCATCGACGAACAGTCTGAATGAGTCGCCGATGTAGATGCTGCAGGGTCTGAGCTTTTCCTTTCTTTGATCTTTTGCGTTTGGCTGGGATTCTCCTTGCTTGCTGGGACAATGCTCGTCCTGGCTCAACGGAGCCCGATGTTCGATGGTTTCGGGCGTGAATTTTGCCACGAAGTCGGCTAAAACTTGGCCTTTAATTGCTGTTCTCGGCCTGAACTCCAGGTCATACTGACCCAGGGCTACTGCCCATCTTGTTATCCTTCCTGTTAAGTCTCCTTGTTGCAACAAGGACTTCAGTGGATGCTCTGTTAGGACCACAATCTTGTGCGCCTAAAAGTAATGGTTCAACTTTTTTGAAGCCATTAGTAAGGCTAGCATTAATTTCTCCAGTGGTAGATACCTTGTTTCTGCGCTGGCCAAGGTTTTGCTTACATAGTAAACCGCTTTTTGCTCCCCTTTTTCTTCTCGGATTAGTACTGCACTTACTGCGTGTTCTGAAACTGCCAAGTACAAAAACAGTTCTTCCCCTGGTTTTGGATTGGAAAGAACCGGAGTTGTGGTCAAGTACTTCTTTAGGTCGGTTAGAGCGGCTTCGCATTCTTCTGTCCACAGAAAGTCAGTGGTTTTTTTCACCAAGTTGAAGAAGGGTCTACATTTATCTGAGCTTCTGCTGATGAATCTATTTAGGGCTGCGGCCCTTCCAATAAGCATCTGAACCTGTTTTGCCGACGTCGGGCTCTGCAGCTCTAGGATGGCCTTGATTTGGTCTGGGCTGGCCTCAATGCCCTTTCTCGTTACCAGATACCCTAAAAACTTACCTGATCCAACTCCAAACGCGCACTTTGATGCGTTGAGTCGGAGCCGGTATGTTTTGAGTATATCAAAGACCTCTTTTAGGTCGGCAAGATGACATTTAGATTCCTTGGTCTTCACGACCATGTCATCGATGTAGACTTCTACCGTTTTGCCAATCAGGTGCTTGAACATTTTTGTTACTAACCTTTGGTAAGTTGCTCCTGCGTTTTTCAACCCAAACGGCATTACCTTGTAACAGTACAGGCCTTTAGGGGTGATGAACGCGATTTTCTCCTCGTCTGGAGGGTACATGACAATCTGGTGATACCCCCTGTATGCATCTAGAAAACTCATTCTTTCATGCCCTGAAGTAGTGTCTACGAGCTGGTCAATCTTGGGCAGAGGAAAGCTGTCTTTGGGGCAAGCTTTGTTGAGGCTGGTAAAGTCTACACAAACCCTCCATTTGCCGTTCTTCTTTTTCACCACCACTGTGTTGGATAGCCAAGTTGGGTAGTGAACTTCTCGGATGGACCTGGCATCCAGAAGTCTATCTACTTCTTCTTCTACTGCTTCGACGTGCATCAACGTCGGTCTTCTGGCCCGTTGAATCACGGGTTTTGCCGACCTGTCGACATTCAGTCTGTGGCAAGTGACCTCGGGGTCAATGCTAGGCATCTCGTAAGGTGTCCAGGCGAACACCTCAATGTTGGCTCTCAAAAAATCTTCCAGTTTTCTTTCCTCTTCTTCGATTAAGCCTGAGCCGAGAAGAAAGAAGCGTTCTTCGTCGCCCTTCTGGACAAGTATTTTCTTTAGTGTTTCTTCACTCTTTTCGGTTGGCTCCTTGCCGACATCATCTAGGACCTCCATGTCTTCGTCTTCAATCTCTGTCTCTTTTGGCTTTCGAATGCTGCAAGTAGTCTTCATTGCTGCTATGGAGCAATTTTTTGCCTGTAGTTGATCTCCTCTGACTTCTTCAATCCCATGCTCTGTTGGGAACCGTAGTAGTTGATGCAGTGTTGAGGGAACTGCCCCCATTGCATGCAACCATGGTCTTCCCAAGATGATGTTATATGGAGAGGGTGTGTCAATCACCATAAATTCTGTCTTGATCTTCTTAGTACCAGCTTGTACTTCCACGCTTGCTGCGCCCAGTGGCCATGTCGGCGTTCCATTGAAGCCGACCATAGGGTTGCTGGATTGTTCCAGGTCGTCTGGGTGAAGGCCCAGCTCCTTGTAACATCTGACGTACATGATGTCACAAGAGCTGCCTTGATCTATTAGGATGCGTTTCACTTGGCATTCCCCAACCTGGAGGGATACTACCAAGACATCATTATGCGGATGTTGGACCAGCTCCAGGTCGGCTTCAGTAAAGGCTATCACCGGCCCTTGGCACTCTTCTGGCCGATGTCTTTTTTCCTCGATTTGGTAGACATGCTGTAAATGCCTTACCCTTTGGGTCTCTCCTCTGACTTCGTTCTCGTTGACCCTTGAGTGGATCACATTAACCACCCTTGGTCCTCCTGCCTGTGGTTGCTGTGCTGGAGGTGGTGGAGCTGCTAGTGCCTGAGGCAATCTTGCCTGTTCTTCTCTGGTCCTGGCCTCATCAACAAGGTCCCTCAGATGGCCTTGCCTTACCGAGTCTTCTAAGTGTGCTTTTAGGGCTCTACAACCCTGGGTTGGGTGCCCTTCTTCATTGTGGTAAGCACAACGCCTACCCATGTTTCTTCCCATGAATTCCCCTGGTGCTCTTGCTGGAGTTCTGAAATAGGGTTGGTTTCGTATTTGATCCAAGACTTTATGGATGGGGATTCGGAACACCGTCGTCACTGCCTGTTTACCCTTCAATTCCGTCTCTTGTT